GCTCGAGTTGTAAAAGGATTTACCAGATATAAGTATGAGAATAGAAAAGGAGTTTATTAGGGGTACGTTGCCATAGACAACAGCCACACAGACAAGAGGTGTCTTCATGAGCCCCGAGGACCAGTTGTTGGGGTCTTTTATAAGGTCGGGTCACAGGCTGCCTGATCGGCTTGTGCACACGTCTCTGGTTGTAGGTGAGTGAGAAGTTTAGGGTCCGCGAAGGGGCGATGGGGTTTATGACTGATCAGGTGGAACAAGCCAGCCTGAGCTATTATGAGATGAGGCGTTACCTGGGGCCATTAGTTTGTCAGGGCAAACACGCCCAGTGGAGAATGTACTTTATCTGCTGAGGGATCGCAGGCAGACATCTGAGAGCCCAGGAATGGGGGTCGTTGGACTTTGAAGTACCACCAGTTGGCCCGACAAGTATTACAAAGAATGCAAGATTGTAGAAATAAGGAAAATATTAAAGGAAGCATGCCATTTTTATATTTATTTATTTATTTGATTTTCATAGCCCTGGGGAAACATGAAAATGATGAAAACATTAAAGGGAATGTGCCATTTTTAAAGAAGAGTTAAGATTTGGTTTAAAAATAAAGTCGTTACTAGCAGAGAGCAAACTTGGCCCCGTATTCCGTGTGGTGTGGAGAAGGATGCTGGCTTCGCATCGAAAGAGGCTTGGGTCCAGCATCAGCTTTATCACTCGCTGGTTTCAAGATGCCGCGTACCTTTCTGAGACCTCCATCCCTTCTCTTTCAAATGAGGGTTAGAGAGCCTCTCCACTGTTTCACAAAAACATAACGTGAAAGTACTGCAGGGGAGCAAAATTTGCCACCCCAAAAAGTGTCTCTTTGGCCTGAGGATTAATTTAGGGTGATTATTTTTAAGCCCCAAAAGACTCACAAAGAATCTTTGACCTTCCCCATAATTGCCTAAAAGAATGTAGGTAGAGGACCTGTTCCAGGAAGAGAGAGGTCACCATACTTAAGCGCAAAGTCTGTTTGTTAAAATTCCTCTCTATGTCCCACCTTCCCTGCAAGGTCCCGAAAACCTTTGTTTATCAAACATTTTCTTTTCCATCTCCATGTGAATTGCTTTCCTCCCCTTTGAAATCCCAAGCCCCTACCCCAAGCATTTTGCGTGTGTGTCTTAAGCTGACTATGGTATTTAAGATAAGAGCCTCAGTCATTTTTTTCTCCTGATAATCTGTGTCATGTCAATCTAATTCTTAGAGGAGCCGGAAGAGCCTAGAAGGGTAGAGGAAAGGTTCTTCTTCCCTGACAGTACTTTGAAAGATATAAAGTCCCATGTAAATACAAATTATTGTTTTACCCTTAAAAGTAACTCTTCAGGAAAGTAAATTAGCAGGGTGGACATATTTCCAACGGGTGTGTAATATTGCTCAATATTGTTGTTCTGTTTCCTATGAACATGATCACCAAGTGGGTCCTCCTCATTTTAAAGGTATAATTTTCACCTCCTTCACGTTCCAATCCTCTGGAATTTTCTGCTCATCAGGAAATCTCTATGTAGTACTTCCAGACTTGTCTTTTAGCCAAAAACTGGTTGGTGTCTAGAGAGACTAAAGCATCTAACTGAATATCTGAGCTGGCTGAATGACTCAGAAGCAGCAAGGCCAATCATTTTTAATTTATCCCGTGCTCAGTGAGCACCACAAGCTTTGGGTGTGGTGGGCTTTGGGAAGTGACTTTGGAGTCTCACCTGGACACCTGTGTCATACTCCTTTGCCCTAGTCTGTGAAGTTAAAGCTCTCTGGGTCTTTTGATTTGAAAATAGTCGATTGAAGTCTGCCCATTCACTTTTCCTTCAAAGCTCCTCTCATGTCTGCCATCCATAAGGATGTTAAAGGTACAGAACCAGAGCCCGAGTGTGTGTGCAAGAGTCGCCCCCGACCCACCCCGCAAGGGTTTGCTGTGTGGTCAGAATCCCAGATGCAGGTGGAGAAAGAACTGAGCATGCCCAGTGACGGTGCCCCTGCCTCCCCTTGCCCCACCCACACGGCTCCTTCCAGTAGAGGCGGGAAGTTTGCTCTCCAGTTTTCCAAATTCATAAGATTTGATTCTTTGCCTTTTAGAGCACAAGGAGGTGCGGAGGGAGGAGACCTTCAAGAGATACCAGGAAAAGTAGGCTATAAAATCGAATCTTGGGGTTGGGGGAAGAGTATAGCTCAGTGGTAGAGTGTGTGCCTCATATGCATAAGGTTCTGGGTTCGATCCCCAGTACCTCCATTAAAAGATAAATAAAAACCTAATTACCTCCCTCCTTAAAAAAATAAAATAAAATGAATGAATAAAGCAAAAAGCATTAAAAAAAGAAAATTTTTTTAAATCTAAAAAAAAAAAAAGAAATTGAACCTCAGCTGCAGCTCTGCCCCTCCATCGGGAACATTTGCTGTCCCTTCCTCAGGGTGCCTGCCTTGTCCTGTCTCTCTGGATCCCCACTGTCAGTGTTGCTAGCCAAAGAGAGAGGCTTCCTCAAGAAAATGTCCCAAACGCTGACTTGGGCCCTGGGGGT